CTCCGTTGAAAACCCTTTGGCGCACAGTTCTACTACGATACACGAGGCGCCATGAGTCAGAATGGGCTCAACGGGAATGCTGGGTAATGTCAGCTCTGTCACAAACACCAGTTCCTACTTAACCTCCGTTTTCTGAAAGTCTCCCAGGTTGTCTTCTGCTATGACTTCAGTGTTTCTCTAAATGTGGTCGTTAGGCAGATATCTGAGGAGCTAAATAAAAATGTAGATTCCTGCATCCCATCCCACACATACAGAATGAAAATCTCTGGGGACAGGGCTTAGGAACTTTCCTCTTAAACTGCTTTTCCAATGTGATTCTTGTCCGGAATGCTGAAAACTGCTGACCTACACTGCGAAGCCTCAAGTTTGTTTTTCCCGGGATTTATCACGAGTCTCCACAACTTACAGACTATTTAACCTACTTTTAAAAGTAGTTTTCATTGAGAGCTAGTGATTTTTATTTTATGCCAAATATGTATGTAAGCATGTTCCTTCTTTCACAAGAAACCATCAAATCAGTTCATTCTGAACAGTACTCAACTGGTTTGTGTATCCACTTAAAATGAGCATAAGCCCATTCTCTCACATATATTTCAAAACTTCACTGTTACGATTTTTACCTAAAATATACAAACAGCATTAATGCAAAGAGGACAAATAAACTTACACTAAAATCATCATTATTTAATTACACTTTAATTCATTTCAAATTATTAGACCAAGTATTAAAGTTTATTTTCATTCAGTTTATTTAGCTCTCTATTTCTAATAGGTTTTCATACCCCAAAAATTAACTCAAGAAAAAATGAAATTGAAGCCAAAGGCTTTTTCAATTAATTTCTGCTGTGCAATTAGTGCTAAGGAATAATTTATTTCTAGAAGTTTTAAAGGATAATATATTTTTCGTTATTAGCCGATCAATATACATAGTAAAAGTAAGTTACACAACTGTACTTTGTCACCACTGGGTAACTAGAATATTCAGTTATATTTCCATAGCAATAAAACAACAACAAAAAAAAAGGACTGGAAATTTGCCAGTAGCAGAAAGAAAAGAAAACATTTAAAAAGTAGCAACATTGGCTTCTGACTGAATGAGTCATCAAAGTTATTCAGCCAAGAAAATTGAAAATAATAGAAAACGCAAACGTTCATAATTACAGCTTTAGCAACCAATATGTATTTTAATCCTCCCAACAAAAAATGCTTTCAAGAAGTATCTTAAGAATCCATCCCAGCTTCCAACCGGGGACCGTATATAAAACCTTAAGGTCTCACCTGATACAAGAAGAAATAGCCAGCAGTTTCACAAGTATACGAGGCATCTCCTGGAACCCCCAGGCTCTTCTGCAATCTTTTCACTTCCTCTAAAAGCTCTATTCTTCGAGCCAGGACATAATTAACTCGTCCATACCTACGAATTTCAATGAAGCAAAAAGGCAAAAATGGTGAAATGAGAAGACTTTTAAGGAAACTGTCAGCAAAATAGTCAAGAGAAACAGAAACTATAAACAGCCAAAGAAAAAACCACAGTAGAAAACATACTTGATACTGAACTCTTAAGTGGCAGTCTTGGGTTAATTTATACCGAAGCTACTTAAACTGTAGTCTACGGACTGACCTGATCTGCAGATTTGTTACTGGTCTGTGAGGAATAAAAATCAACTACATCATTTAGTTCAGCTCTTTCTTTCTTTTTTTTTTTTAAATTCATAACAAGACTTTCACAAAGAAGGAAGCAGTACAGTGCAGTGCATTCTGGTACATGCCATATCTCGTGACAAATCAAGAACAAATAGTTTAGGGATCTGCTACTTTGAGTAGCACTGTTTTACATTACAAGTAAGTTAGTTCTAAACACTTCAAAGATTAATTTTAAAACATAATCACTTCTTGTCCTCTACGGATCCCAGCATATAGCCTGGAGTCTGACCCTAGCGGACTCATAGATAAGAAAACTGAAGCTTGAAGAGTACCTTGTCCAGAGATATGCAGTTAAGAAAGAAAGCAGAGGAGCCAGAATTGGAACTCAAAGCCTATACATACTTCTTCCATAGTAACAACGCTTTACTGCTAAAAACAGGTTAAACTAGTTTAATCATTGATGTTCCCATGTTTAAAGACTTGACAAAGTAAGAAATCAAAGGTTCATCCTTTAAGCAGGAAAGAATGATCAAAAGTAGAAAAAAAATATGACACTGTCTATGTTTGTGAGAATTTTTCAACTTACAAGGATAGAAACATTAACAAGTGACATTTTCCTGTTTGCTTATTTATAATTTAAAATTCTTTCTACAACTCCACCTCTATAATGCAAAAAGAAAAAATTAGGCATGCTTATAAAGAGTCTCATAAAAATGCTAAAATTCTTGTGATATAATGTTTAATTTAGAAAGAAATATACAAAATTATAAATAATAGCATGATTACAGCTGATTTTTGAAAAAAGACTAACAAAAACTTGTTCTCGGATAGTGGAATTATGGGTGATACTGTTCCTCTGCACTACTTTGCTGTGTTTTCAATTATTCTTTAGGGAAAACTGTATTACTTTTATCATGAAACAATAAACCTTATTCTTTCTAATTACTACAGAGAGAGAGAGCATGAAAGAACAGCCCCCGAATGAACAAGCATGCATATACTAACAGAACTTGGGGCTTCTGTATCTGAAGGCAAAAATTATTTTCTCAGAAACTTGGCAGCATCTAAAGTCATTTTAAAAATTCTACTTCTGTCCTATTACAATATTCTTTAAGAACTATAAATCCTACAACAATATAATTATAGTATTAAGCATTTCATTAACACTAAATTCTGAATTATTAGATTTTAGGGTCTAATCCACTTTGGTAAATTAGCTTGAGTATGAGATTTATAGAGGCGAAAATCTGAGAAGTATCACTGACTGATACAAAATTAAGAATTCAGAGCCCCAAATAACATCGTGTGTTGTTATTTTCCCTCTGCAACAAAATCACCCTTTTACAAGCTAACAAGCGTTCAGTGAGCTCTGTAGTACAAGAACTCAAAATAGAGGCAACATAATAATTTAACACTCTTAGTTCTTTTGATGTCTATGGTTAATTTAGTCAAAGGTCATGTTCAACAGCCAAGGACTGTATTAAATATGTACAGCTGTTAGTTATCCTGTGGTCTGAGATTGTGCTTTAAAAATAGGTTCAAATATAAATGAAGTAAGTTATTATAAAGCAACTTTGAAGGAAAAAAATTAAAATACCAACAACAGAAGAAACGTAAGTTATAAAATTTCAGCCAGTTTGCAATATATAGTATTAAACATAAAGCCCAGCTAAGCTGGCACTGAGTACCTGAAATCATACAACGGCAAAGCTTACAATATCATTATCTTCAATTTGCATTTCATTAAATAAATCAACCTCTCAGTGGGTGGCTAAAACATTAGCCAGATTAAATGTCTGGGTGAAATGTGAAAAAGGAATCATCTACAGTTACACAGTTTTGAGGGACATGAATTAGCAACATTAAAAATTACCTCAATAAATAGAAAGCAAATGGCAATCTATGATTTTTATAAGGCGAACAAGATCGCGCTCTTCACTGAAGTAGCTACATACATGAGGAAACAACAGCCTAAAAATACAGCCGTGAAGCTAAGGGAGAACCCAACCAGTGTTTTCAGTCAACCTACAACCTAAGCAGGTTATGCTAGATCCTTTGAGAATTAAGTTAGATTGTTCATTGCTTTCTTCTCCTCGTGTTTAATGAAGAACAAGAAGCTCACCTGCTGAAATCCTTCTCCGTCTCCAGTTCTTCTTCCCCGTGACCAAGACGCAGGAGATGGCGTTCATCAATGTCTAAAGCCATGATTTTCTCAAACAACTGGTTCAGGGCCTGGAGAACAAAACAGGTAGAATGACGGTGCGTGTCAAGGAATCAGGAAGGTTCTTGAAAAACAAAAATATAACATTTAGAAGGATGAGAAAAAATGAGGATTGCGCAGTCAGGTAAGGATCAAAACTGAAACACAGAAGGAAGGAGATCTTACACCAGGCCATTTACAGTTTAGACAAAACAGTATTTTTATTGACTTCTGAAATTGCTGCTTATGTATGCTTGGCCGAATGAATAACCAGAAACCATAAAAATCATCTACTCATTAAATCCCTGAAAAGAGAAAGGCTTTGGTTCAGCTGCTATTTCCAAGTAATTACAACTCCTAAAGTAGTGAAGAGTCACACTGAGTTTTGTTTCACTCAATGGCATTTCCATGAGTTGCAGAAAACAGAAACATTTTTGGAGTTGGGCAAGAACTCAGGCAGGAAGTGTATAGGGAGGATATATCAAGAGAACCACAGAGTAGAAAGCTAAAAGCGTATCTTTCAAATCTCAGGCTGAAACTCTAAAGTTTTCTCTACAACGATGAGCAGAGCACTCATTTAGGGCAAACTATCCTGACAAAAGCCATTTAAGTGTCACCTCTTTCTACCTATGAAATGTTCACGTTTAGGGTCCCCTCGAACCCTCAAATCCGGACACCTGCAGTTACAAGGTTGGGCAGAAAGACAAAAGTTTCACAGTATGGAAAGACACACTGATAAAAGTATCGTTTAAAACTCAGCCTCCACTCAAACACCGCTTCTCATTTACCACTACTGTCCACCTCTGCCCATCAAGTCAATATCGTCTCTAAACAACAGGTTCTATAATATAAATATAGATACCCTTTGTTTTCAAAACTCTGCAATGAGAACTCAGAAAATGAGTAAATTAACAAAATTTTTCAGAAAAATTCCCTACTATATGAACTCTTAATACTCACCATCCAAAACTAAGAAACCCAGTGGATTCTGACCACGTAGCAAACTTTCACTACCTGAACTCCAGAACCACATAGATTTGGCACATTGCAATCTCAGAAAAAAAACATCAAGATTGCATTGTCAACTAGACTGATGCCAGAGAACTGCCTGAATCATATGCAAATGAAGATCTGAAAAATAAAAGTTTACTGAAAGGAAAAATCAACAGTTTGATGGACATCAAGAAGGATCTGAATATCAAACGATCAAGAAGATCCTTAGCAAACAAGGAAGTTTTTTACTAATTTTGCAAAACAACCTTCTCTATGATCGTGTAATTTAAATCAATTATTAAATAAAGCATACTATAGGAAGTCATATCAAGTCATGACAAAATTAGAAACATTATGTCAAAACAATAATCAATGCATGATTTATTCTTTGCTCATTGTAAGAATTTGAAATTAAGTGCAATTATTACATACTAAATTTTATTAAATAGAGGAAATATTTTTTTCCATAATTTTTTTTCATTTATCAAGATAAAGTCCCTAAAATCCCCCCACCCACAATTTTAGTATATCTTATAGCATGTCACTTATAAACTTAAAAAATACATAAAAACATGACAGCTGAAAGAACTGGATGGTATCACCAAAAACATCTATAGATTAAAAGCTGATGGACAACAGCGTAACTGACATTTAGCATTCTAAAAACTCAGCACTTGCTCGTAGACTAATCCTTCTACAATACTGGTCAGCTGAAATCACCACTGTCAATATTATTCTCGGAAAAGAAGTACTTTCAGAGGTTTAGCCTCTCTAAGTGTTACAATGTTTCAGGATGTTTTGAGAGCTGCCAGTCATATTTCACACCATGAGTAATAAACTTTCCTTGTTCTTCGTTCCTCATACCTACAACTAGTGATAGTTTTAGAGTGACTACCACAGCACACAGAGAGATGTGAAGATTGTTTCATCAGTCATTATATACAAAAAGGAATTTGTTTTTATTGCTTTAGTTCTGTTTACATATGCCTCACATATTAGACTCGTAACCTAAAATAGTCCTTCTGTGTAATATACATATTCATATGTATACTTCACAAGGGTTTTAAATTCAACCCAGAATTAATGAGTCTTTTAGTAATACTCATTACACTAAATAAAATTACTACTAATAAGGATTAATGCTTCCAACTTAAAAATAAAAGCTCTAGCTTAGCATGGGAGAAGGAAAAAAAAAAACGGCAATTTAATTTAATCCAAATATTTGACCACATATTCAGACATTCTTCTTAGTTTTTCCATATTTTATCCCTCTCCAGGAGAAATCAGAGGTTGTTTTTTTATAAATCAATATAATCTACTCATGACCAGTGATAATCCATGAATAACTCAACAGCAAATACTACACTAACCAGCCTCTCCTGGCATTCTGTGGCACCTATGAGGAAGTTATCACACATGAAGCAATCTTCCCCACTGTGCGTTCATGTTCTGCCCCTTCCCTCCTACCTTCTCTTCTCCCCATCCTCCCCCACCCCACCCCACAAAGATGCAGTCATTCACCTGATTGGAGTGAGTGACAATTAAAGTCCTCTGCTCCGGGAAATTGTGGTAGATGTTGGATATGATCTGGACTGCCACATCCGTTTTTCCTGTACCAGGTGGGCCTACAACCTAAAAAGGAAACAAACATAGAGCAAAGTACTAAATTATCACATTTCTAGAAAATGCAAATTTTAAAACTGAAAGATAAAATAACCAAAATTTAAAAAGTAACTAGATGGGCTCCGTAACAGAATGGACAGAACAGAGAGTCAGTAAACTGGAAGATAAGCTAATAGAAATAACTGGACTTGAACAGCAGATAGAAAAAAGGCTGAAAGAAAATAAACAGAGCATCATGAATCTACGGGACAATACCAAAAGGTCTAACATCCATACCGTCAGAGTACTAGAAAAAGAGGAAAATTAGTAGAGTGTAGAAAAAAATAACTGCTGAGACAATGGATGAAAACTTCCGAAATCTAGCAAAAACGTAAACCCACAAATTCAAGAAGCTCAGTGAGCCCCAAACAGAACAACTCCGAAGAAATCCAAACCCAGACACATCATAATCAAATGACTAAAAACTAAAGACAAAAAATCTTGAGAGCAACTAGAGAAAAGTGATAAGTTACATGTAGGGAAGGATTTTGCAAATGACTGTATTTCTTATCAGAAACAATGGAAACCAGAAGAAAGTGGAATAACATTTTAAAAGCACTGTGAGGTGCAATGAATTACTTAATATGGCCCTTCTAGCGATGGTCTTTGTGACCTACACACAATGACTGGGTGGGACCATGCAAATAAGGTATATGGAAACTGTGATGTCTGGGGTTACGTGTCAACGTGGCTGGGCCATGATTCCCATTTTGTGTGGCTGTCCTCCATTTTATGTATTGTAACTCCTAACCTCTACATGTTAATGAGGCAGGATTGGCATGGGGTGTATCTTGAATCACAGCCTTGAAGGAGGGTGTGTGACTCAAGCTCCCACCTTTACTCACGTTATGCCCTTCCCTGGGGTGTGGCTTGCTTCTAAAGTACATACATGGGTGCCCTGGTGGGGCTCGCTCTCTCTGCATCTGGATCCTGCGTCCAGCTCATGATCATCTAACTTCTAGTTGTTGGAACTTGAGCCAGCAGTCTGCTGTCTGACCTGCTGATTCTGAGATTCGCCAGTCTCTGCAGCCCTGTGGACTGGCCGCCTATTATCTGACCTGATTCACCAGCCTCCACAGCTTTGTGAGTCAGCAGCCTGGGTGTGACCTGCCGGTTTGGGTTCGTCAGCCCCTGCAACTACATTGGTCAGCAGAAACCTACACCTGATCCATGGATTTGGTACTTGCCAGCCTCCACAACCACTTCCTTGATGTGGTGCGTGAGTTCTGTGAGATACTGCAGTGAATTACAGAACCCAAAGACAGGAGGGAGAGTACTGAGGGGAGAAGGAGTAGTTGACGTTAGAGATGATGGAGCTGTACAGCAGTTTGGAGACGTTGGACATTTGGGACATCTTTAACTTCTGCCTCATAAGAACCAGCTTTGTGCTGACTCTTACAAAAGAAATTATTCATTTATACCGAAAGGGAAGAACTATTAAGCCAGAAATCAACATCTAGTGAAAATATCTTCTAGGAATGAAGGTGAATTAGAGAGATTTTTAGATGAAGGAAAACTAAGATAATTAATTGTTAGCAGACCTGTCCTAAAAGGAATGGTAAGAGAAGTTCTTCAGACAGAAAGAAAAATGATGCCAGAGGAAACCTGGATATTGGGAAAGAAGGAAGAGCAGGAGAAATGGCAAATATCAAGGTAAATATAATAATAGACTATTCTTCTCCTTTTGAGTTCTCTAAAATATGTTTGATGGTTGAAAGCAAAAACTCCAACATTGCCTGATGGTGTTTTCAGTGTATGTAGATACAATACATAGACAACTATAGCATAAACGGGGTGTTTTCAATGTATGTAGATATAATACATAGACAACTATAGCATAAAAGGGGAAGGTAGATGGACCTACACGGGGGTAAGGATCCTCCATTCAAGTTGAAGTGTGAAAATACTGATTGTAAGTAGACTGTGAAAAGTTAAGTATGTATATTGTAATTTCCCAGAGCAATCACTTATAAAAACTATACAAGAGATGTTTTTTTTTAAAAAAAAAACCCACAACAGATAAAATAGAACACTAAAAACTGTTCAAATAACCTAAAATAAGGCAGAAAAGGGGAAATAGAGAAACACAAAAAGAAAAACAAAAAAACAATAAAATGGTAGATTTAAATCCAAATATATAAAAAATTACATTAAATGTAAATGGTGTAAATATACCAACTGAAAAAAAAATTGTCAGAATAGATAAAACAACATGACCCATCTATATGCTGTCTACAAGAAACTCACATCAAATATAATAAGTAGGTCAGACGTATACCTTCTCACTTATCAACTATCCCGTTATCTGACATTTTGCATTTATGACAATAGTAAAAAATCTACTATCTGACTATTTTGTGCATTAACGACATGTTTGGCAGCAACAAACGTCAAGGTGCAAGGCAAGAGTAACAATGGCTTTGATGGTTAAGATTATGTGTTAACTTTGCTGGGCTGTGATTTTCAGTGGTTTGGCAGTTATGTAACGACGCAGTCATCCTCCATCTTGTGATCTGATGCGGTCATCCTCCATTTTCGCATAACACTGATTTTGCACAACGATCTGGTCTTTGGAACCTAACCATGTTAAGTGAGGAGAGAAAGACTATGCAAACACTAATCAAAAGAAAGCTGGACTGGCTATTTTAACATCAGAGAAAGTAGACTTCAATACGTAATGATAAAAGGGTCAATTCATCAAGAAGACGTAACGATCCTCAGTGTGAATGCACCTATCACAAAGCTTCAAAATATATGAAGCAAAAACTGATAGAACTGAAAGCAGAAACAGACAAATCATAATTTTAGTTGGAGATGTCAATACCCCCGCTTCTCAGTATTTAACAGAAATAGTAAGTGGAAAATCAGCAAACATAGAGAAGAACTGACCAACACTATCAACCAAATGGATCTAACTGACAGTTAAAGAACACTCCACCAAACAACAGCAGAATACATATTCATTTTAAGTGCACATGAAACATTCACCAACAGAGATCATATCCTGAGCCATAAAACAAATCACAACAAATTTAAAAAACACAACAGAAACTGAAATCATACACAGTATGCTCTCTGACCATAATGGACTTAGAAATCAGTAACTGGAAGAGGAAGAGTAAAACCTCCAAATACTTGGAAACACTTCTAAATTAGGGGTCAACAGATTTTTCTGTAAAGCGCCAGGTAGTAAATATGTTAGGTTTTGTGGGCCACACAATCTCTGTTGCAAGCATTTAACTCTGCTATGAAAGCAGCCATAGACAAAATATAAACAAATGGGCATGGCAGGGTTCCAGTAAAACTTTATTTATGAACACTGAAATAAGCAACAAGATATCCATATATATAAGATGTCGTAATTACTTACAAACACTTAAACTCAATCAGGTTTTTGTGCTTCAAACAGAACACACTCTAAGTATTTGGTGCTTCCTTCTAGTCTTTATCAATTTAAGAGCACGTATAACAATACTTCTCTTACCATAGTCAGCCCAGGCTGCATTCCAGCACGGATAGCCTCTATCTGAGTATGAGTGAACTGAATCGTATTACTGCAAATAGAAAGTAGATAAAATGTTGGTTAAAAATACAGATGACACTTAATAAATATTTAGATAACAATGATCAGAGGTCTAAACATCTGCTCTGTATTTGCTCTGGATCTCTCCATCTCTTCTGAATGACCTCCTTCTCCCCTTCCCCTCCATGGACCAACTAAAACTGAATACATTTTGTGGAAAGAAAGACTAGTTATTTCTCAATACACTTAGCCCATCCGAGACCTCATTTGGAGGGTCAAAGCTCCATTTCCCAATCTATTATCAATTATAATGTCACTTTATTAGTCATGGCACACACGCGTGAGTGCTGTGGCCGTTATGTTATGCAGGGTCTTGAAGTGGGTCTTCTCAAATTAAGGAAGTCCTCTAATATTTACTTCTCAGAAACTCGTTGCCGTCGAGTCAATTCCACCTCATAGCAACCCTACAGGATGGAGCAGAACTGCCCCATACGGTTTCCAAAGAGAGGTTAGTGGACTTGAAATGCTGACCTTTTGGTTAGCAGCAGAGCTCGTAACCACCACACCACGAGGGCTCCTTATTTCTTATAGTACCTGAAAATGTTTCTTTTTGAAATATCATGACTACAGAATGGCCAAAAATGTCTGATATATTTAGCTGACTAATAAGATAGAAGGAAAAATGGTACAAAAACAGAAGCTTTCTGGAGTTTTCAAAGAATTAGAAAATTATAAAATATTACTACTCCATTTTAAATAGCAAACTCTTATTCACTAATACAATTAGCATAGGTAGTACAATTACCGTTTTGGTTGGTTGTAAGGATAAGGCCCCCTATTAGGAATAACGTGAGGTTCAACAATTAAGGTTTTTGCCTCTTCAGTGTCTTCATCTTCCCCATCTGCATCCTTCCTTTTTTTTCCTTTTCCACTTCTTACTGGGAAAGTTATCCTACAAGACCAAAATCCTTGTTCATTTTTGCCATTTACAACAATTTACTGAGCACCTATCTCGTGCATGACATCGTCTGGAAGAAAACCAGAAGAGTAAGAAACACTGCCGGCCAAAAACCTCATCCTCAGTACATAACTTCTGAAAAAAGCAGATTTACAAGCATTGAAATCGGTTATGAACAGAGTGTTAAAGGTGTTCAGATTAGAAAAAGTCACCTAAGGGAGAACCAAAGAATAAAAATTTAAATACTTATGTCACAGGCACCGTAGAGTGCTTTATACCATGTCCTCCATCTGATCACCAAAGGCTTCATGGAAGAGGGACAGTTACGACAAGCTTAGAAAGAGTCCAACACACAAAGACACTCCCGGGAGAACAAAGTAACAGCGCAGGTTCCAGGACAAGCAGCCTAGTTTTTGGGGAACAAAAAACTAAAACCAAACCCACTGCCATCAAGTCGATTCTGACTCATAGCGACCCTATAAGACAGAGTAGAACTTGCTCCATAGGGTTTCCAAGGCTGTTATCTTTATGGAAGCAGACTGCCGCATCTTTCTCCCAGAAGCAGCTGGTGGGTATGAACTGCTGACCTTTTGGTTAGCAGACGAGCCCTTAACCAGTGCATCACCAGGCTCCTTTTCAGGAAATAGTACGAAAAAATAAGGATAAAGAGATATGCTAGAGCCTTGTTATGACACACCTGGCCTGTAAAGCCTTTAAGGCAGAGGTTCTTAGCCTAGAATACCTTAGGAGGTGACTCTACAGATACCTGAGGGAACTCCTGAACTCTTTAAAATTAAACTAAAAAATTGTCTATGTGCACTTTGTAGGAGATTGTCCAGTTTGTCTTCACATTTGAAAAGGACAGGCAATACAAAAAGACCTAAGAACCAAGAGGTCTCCTTATTTTGGTAAGGTAAGCAATAGAAACAAGCAGCTCTGGAGCTAGGGACTGGAATGCCTCCAGCAGTACGGCATGCAATGGGTCTTGGTGAGGGGGTAAGAGGCAGGAAAGACGCTGTCATCACAGGGACCGAGAGGTAGAAGTCAGGAATGTCATGGAAAAAAAGTTACCCTTACGGCTGACTCTCTGAGACATGGCAGGAGTCACAGAAGGAAAAAGATTCAAAAATAATGCTGAAATTTCAAGATGGGGAGACCAGAGGAATGGTTTTGCCATTAATAAAATTAGGGCAATATGGTGGAAGATCAGGTTTGGGTGGTGTAAAGGACATAATTGTTTAATACGTAGAATTATTGTATTTAACAGCCAATTGCAAGCTCTGTGTTTTGTTTTCTAACTAAGGAAGTAAGCCCTGGGCTACCGCCCGCAGTACCCTGTGTGCTCTGCCACTATTCCACGGGAGGAATTGGGGGACGGCAACCAGCTGCACTGGGCACTTGGCTCTATTTCTACTCAAATTTTAAAACCAAAGCTCATTTAACCTTAAATGTAACTATATTATACATATTTAAACCTTGTGAAAGCAAGCAAGGTTAAAAAGATTTTCTTCCTTAAAAACAAAAAAATCTCAATATCACGTAGTCGTGTGTACTAGTTAGGGAATACACAAGATGGAATGACATATTTCTTCAGTCAAATGCTACAGATTATTTCCATACGACTCGTCAGGCAACAAGTATTTACTGACCCACTGTAAAGCATGAGGCTACTTTTACTGTGGTGCTTAAAATAGCTTCTGTAGCAAGAATTAGAAAAACAGACTCAAATAAAATAAATGTATCTCAGCATTATATGGTGAGGGCAGGGACTGCCAAAACAATATCCAGATGCAATACTCAAGAATTACTTTAGCTAATAGTCCTGATGGCCTGGGACTGACTATAAAATGCCTGAAAAGAGCATATTCCATCCTGACTTTACCTGAAAGGGGGTATCTGCAGAGCTGGGTCATCCACAGTTACTTTAACATTATGACCTGGAAAGCTGGCTTTTAAATGCTCAACAGAGAGAAAGGTATCATTGAAATCGAGGGTGGCAATCTGATTGGGCATTTTGGAATAATGTGCACTGCTTGGATCCCCGTAACCTAGGATGATGTCGTGCAGCCAGTCAGGTACCACGCAGTCCGTATTCATCAAGTGCCGAATAGTCTCCAGCACAGCCTGTCAATAAAAAGAGAAGGACGGTGTCACATCTCAGACATCTGCACTTGACTGGCACGCAGAGCCGGCCGCACTCACCAGCATTCCCGATTGCTGCAGGGCAAGGAGCTGTCTTCTGCTGACAGGTGCTTGGCTAGACTGAATCAACAGCTATATTTTCAGCTGCTCCCATACAATGAGTTAAACAAAAGACCAAACAGAGCAAGAACAGTTTATCCACTAAGAGTTTGTTTAGACAGTATGTCTTAAATGAGTTTACCACTTGATTCCGATTGGGTAGGATGAAAATCCAACTTAGGCCTACATAACAGTAAGAAAAGATCGTAGAACAAACCCTTAAAAGAAAATGCTTCCTTCCTCTTAGAAACTCTCGGAGTTCTTCCCTTCTCATATTCTACAGTCCATCAACGCTAAGAACATACAAGCACATTAATGTATGCCTCAATTGCTAAACATATCTTAATTTAGAAATATTGAAATTAGCATTGTTGTAAATAATAAAAAAAGTAAAGTGAACCAAATTATAACAATGAAGGAAATGTCAAACAAATTTCAAATGACAGAATTAAAGTTGTTACTACCTACGCTGTCAAAAGTAATTACCAAGCAAGGCAAATTCTTAGACTTTCCAATCGTCATTTCAACAAAGTGATCTATCCCACATATGGAAATCAGGAGGCTAGGCTACTGATTTCACATCATAAAATAACCAGATCAGCCATTTTTATATCACAAATATTATACAGTCCAACTTTTAACAAGAACAGAACAGTGTACGTTAATCACACTCTTAACCACACTGCCTTGTTTTACCTTCTGGCCTTACCACTACTTGAAATTCTCTTACTGATACCTGGTTAGCTGTTGTTCATATTTGGTCTAATCCCCCCAGACTATAATTTCCTAAGTGCATGGACCTAAACAGCTTAAGCATGGATGGGTGAATGGATGGACAGACAGATCAATGAGCATGCTTACATAACAATGATGAACAAGAGCAGGACTCTACCCTTAAGGAAATTACAGGCCTAGTAGGGAGACAGAACATCTCCTCAACTACAATACGAAGCGGCAGAATGTGGCAAATAGGAGAGAATATTACAAAATACGACAGAAACACAGGTTGTGGCAGGTGAGAGACGGCACGAGAGGGGAGACGTTTTTGGCTTTAGGAAAGACTTCAAGGAGGAAAATGGCATTTTAATTTAGCTCAAGTAAAGGATGTGCGAAAGACCCTTGATTTATTTTTTCATTAATGGAAAGTTACAGAAGTTTTCTGAGAAACAGAGAGAAACGGTCAGTGTCATACAGCAAGAGGAAACATACGAAAAACAGAATCTGAGGAGACTAGCAGTAGAGACAGAGAAGGCTACTCCGACCGTCTCGCCAGGAGTGAAGGATCCAGATGAGGGTGGGCTGTAGCACCCACACCGGGGAAAAGCAAGCCAGTGAGGACGCTGTCCAGGCCAAACACCAAAAACACCAACAGAGCGCTCTTCCTTTCCCAGAAGTTGATCGCTCCCCCTTTCTTGGATCAGAACCTGAACGCCTCCTTTGAATGCCCAGGACACCTTTATCTGCGTACTTCTCATGGTGTGTGGCATCTTCTAATCACCCATGGTAACTTCTTCCTATTTCTAATCTTCCGTACTAATAGTCTAAGCTCCCTAACGTTATAAACTGTGTTTTATTCATCTTTATAAGTTCCATATAACTTAGCACAATACAAAATACATAGTAAGCACTCCATAAGATGGTCAGTGAATATAAGAAAGCAACGTTTTTAATGATGTGACTGAAATTCAGTAATATTTACTGAGAACTGAGCAAATATGAGGCCGCCCTGAGTACTGTAAAACTTGGAAACTCTTAGACTTCCTCACCCTTCACTCACTCAGGAAATATTTACTAAGTACATGCTATGAACTATGGATCAAAAGGCAGTCATTTGAACAGAACAAAGGAATGTTGCCTGATACAAAATTGGAAAAGGTGTATGGCAGGGTTGTACCTTTCACCATACTTATTCAATCTGTATACAGAATCACTTATCACCAAGTTACTTAAAAGGAGCCTTTAAGAAACAAAACAAATTTCATGGCTCATGTATTAACACTTTGGCATTTTACTCACAGCAGAAAGCCCCAGAGTACTTCTTTGGAACTCATTAGATAACTATTGTTGAGACAGAATACCAATACCCAAACCCATTGCAGTCAAGTCAATTCCGACTCATAGTGACCCTGTAGGACACAGCAGAACTGTCCCATAGGATTTCCAAGGCTGTAATCTTTATGGAAGCAGATAGCCACATCTTTCTTCCTCAGAGCAACTGGTCGGTTTGAACCACCAAACCTTCCATTAGCAGCCGAGTGCTTAACCACTGTGCCACCAGAGCTCCTCAGAATTCCAATACACATAAATATCATAGCCTTTTCCTTAACGTGCTATGTAACGTGTATAGCTATTCGTGTAAATGTGTTTCCTCCATTAAATTATAAACTCCTTGAGGGTAGGAGCAGTTCCTTGTTCTCCCCAACTTTGCCCAAAACAATCCCTTAGCCACAATTTTTCTGTAATGAAGGGAACATTACAACTCTGTGCCTGTGACGTAAACTCCAACAGGACAGATAATCTGGAGCTCAAGGGCTGAGTGAAACAGTGAAACCAGTCAAGAGATGGTAACAAACTCAGTTAATTCAGTACGTATTAAAATCTTTTTTTCCACGTGAACGTTCTTCCATTTCCTTTTCATTCTTTGTTTGGTCTTCACTACTGCGTACTCATCCGGGTAACTGCGGATTCCAGGACTGAGCGACTCTGAAAACAGAACTGCAGCTGTTCTCTACCGCGAAGAGTAACTGCACCCAACACGGGGAGCGGGCGTGGGGGAGCTCAAAGTGCAGAAATACCACAACCTATTTTTTCCTAGACAATCACCTAGTTACTGTTAAGTAAGGAAAGGCAGGCAGGCAGAGAACAGTCCTGTGCTGTAGAATTCTAACTACAGTCACTAGAAGTGATATTAATGCTCGAAACTACCACACCACCACAGAACAGGCGCTTCTCCCGCAGCGAGGTCTGCAAAGCCGCACTGTACAGAATGTGACTGATTACAGAAGAGGATCTGTGCTACTCGGTTTACAACTGGGTTCCTCTGTTCACGAGGTTATCTTTCCTTTATCATAGCAATGGGTAAAAAAGGCAATAAAGTGTAAGAATGTATACTAAGCCCTGTGATGGGGAGAGAAAAGAAAGGCACTCCTGTGCAAAAGTTAGATGTTATAAAATGCTAAAATTGCTCACTGTTTCAGTTTTATAGTTTCAAATAATAATTTTTAAAAACTTTACTAGCATTCCTTCTTCCCCCAAAATTATTACAAAATTAAAACTCTCTAGCTCCCAAATCTCCTTTTTCCCACAAATCAGTAAAGTATAAATACACCATATCAGAGAGTAATTCAGAGACCTGAGGTTCCACATCTTTATTCTCAAAGTTATTTGGAAGTACACCTATTTCTGACTTATAAAGAAGCCGCAGTAAGCAAGTAAGCAAGCAGTTTTCTTCACAAAACACTGAGACATAAACTGGGTATCTAACACATAAAAAGCAAGGAAGGAGGCTGACCTTTAGAATAATATCTGGATTAATTTATATTTTAAGTCTTTAAACTCCTCAAAAGAAAAACAGATTAAGCAAATGAATTTCCTTAAGATTTTATATTTAATCTGCATGTTAACAATTTAAGCGGAATGTTGAGAATCAAATAAAAGCAGTGATTTTATTTTCTCAACAAGTGTTGTTCTTAACCATATCAATGTACCTGTTGCCATCAAGTCAATCCGACTCATAGCGACTCTGTAGGACAGAGCAGAACTGTCCCACAGGGCTTCCAAGGAGCAGCTGGTGGATCTGAACTACTGACCTTTTGGTTAAGAGCCGAGCTCTTAACCACCGTGCCACCAGAGCTCCAACTGTATCATGCATTTACGCCTTAAAAGTTTTCAAATTACAACATAACAACTTTAAGTGGAAGGAACAAAAAATAACCTAAAAGTAATTTCCCTTGGGTTCCCCCCCAATAATAAAATGAAAAGTTCAAAAAAAACCTCCTGCTCCACTTTGTATAGTATTGGTCATATCTTGCTGATACTGGTTTGGATCCAAAAACACTCTGAAAGTCCTTGATTCTCCTCTAAGATTAGGTCTGGGTTCGGGTCCTGGGCATTTTGAAAAAGTATGTTAAATGAAATAAGAAAAACTTTCCAAATATCAAAGAAAGTTAATAGTATTCCTTTTCTAGAAATTATGAAAAAACTGTCCAGATTTAACTCTATCATTTCCCGATGACTGGAATGCCCTCTCTCCTCATCCATTTCAAATTCCAAGAAGCTCAAAGAATTTTCTCTTTTCCCTAAATTCTTAACTACTTCTT